ACGCACACATATATAAATAATGTATTTACTTTAGTGGTAAAATGTAAAATAGCTACATCACTTTAACCATTCATCTATCAGGGCCAAATATTTTCTCTCTCTGAAAATAGATAAGATGTTTATTTGAAGACATACTCACTATAAGTCCAGGTTCTCCTTTTAGTCCAATTTCACCCTTTTCACCCTAAAAAAAAAGTAATTTAAGTTAAATAAAATGTTTGTTGTTGTTGTTGTTGTTTTTTTTCCCTCCGCTAAATAAAGATAAACAATCCTTTTTTGCTTAAAAAAAAGTTGCTCCAAATCGAGCAGATAGTGAGTGGAAATTTGTAAAGACTCATTTAATAATTGTTATTATTATTTAATAATTGTTTATTGTCTGGGTGTGAATAAAGAAAAATAAAAAAAGTCTTGAGTTGATCCAAAATGCTGCTGCTAGAGTTTTAATGAACAGACAGGAGAGATCATATCTCTCCAGTTTTAGCTTCTCTCCACTGGCTCCCTGTCAAAATAAGAATTGAATTCAAAATCTTCCTTCTAACCTACAAAGCTCTCAACAACCTAGCTCCATTTTATATTAGATATCTTATTGGTCCATATTTTCCTAAGAGAGCACTTCCCTCTAAGATTGCAGGTTTACTTGTGATTCCTAGAGTTTCCAAAAGTAGAATGGGAGGCAGATCTTTCAGTTATCAGGCTGCTCTCTTGTGGAACAGACTTCCAGTTTCTGTCTGTGAAGATGACACATTGTCCAGTTTTAAGATTAGGCTTACCGCTAAGTATTTCCTTTTTGATAAATCCTATAGGGTTTACTTGGGTTTTCTGAGCTATTCCTTAGTTATGCTGCTATAGGCTTAGACTGCTGGAGTACAAACTGACCACATTTCTTCACTCTGCTGCTGTCTTTACTTGATCTACTACCGGTTACTTTACCTGTTTGTATTTGTAATTAATTCTATCCTCAACATGTTTTTTTTTTTTTTGTCTTCCCTTCAATTGAAAGTACATCTGGACCTGTCATTCTGTGTTCGTTTCTCTTTCCTGTCCTCTCAAACCCCAACCGGTTGAAGCAGATCGTCCTGAGTCTGGTTCTGCTGGAGGTTTCTTCTCGTTAAAAGGGAGTTTTTCCTTTCCACTATTTCCAGTGTGCTTGCTCAGAATGGGAGACCGCAATGAAGTGAAGATTCAACACAATCTGCTGGCTTCCTCAGATAGATAACTTTTACTAATTTTTAATGTATGTCAATCTTTGTCATCAGTGCTCTGAGATAACCTGCTGCAACTTGGCACTATATAAATAAACTGAATTGAATTGAATAAAATAATACACTCTGTGTTTAGGATCTGAATATACAGATAATGTACATTTACATTACAGCTTGGAAAGTTACTGTATGTTCATATGCTGCTTTGCTTCATCTAAGGTGTCTGGGGTATCTTGATTCTGTGCAGGGTACAAAGAAATCTCAAGACTGTCAATGGATTCTGGAGGGAAACATGCAGCCCACTTCCAAAAAGCTTGGTCTCAGTTACAAGTTATAGGTCCTTCAAAGGGAAAATGAGCTAAAAACACCCAATAATGGCTCAGAACAAAACATGCAGTCTGGAGAAAGCACCCTTCAATCAGCTGGAGCAGTTTGCTCTTAAGGAGTGATTCAAAATACGTGTGGAGAAGCCTCAAAATGCTACAGAAATCTCATGGTTTCAGCCTCAACAGATTGTGAAACAAAATATTAAGTTAAAGGTACCAAGTGTCAAATTATGTCAGTGACTACTGAGTTTTTTTTTTTTCCCCACACAAAAGAATCAGTGCCTGTAGTTGCTTACCTTGGTCCCCTCAGGTCCTGGTTCTCCTAGCGTGCCATCTGGACCCAGTGGCCCCTAAACAACAGCAGCATGAGACACACAACTAAAAATTACTCAATAAAAACTTGACAAAACATTTAGCATCAAACAAATGATGACGTCCAGGAGTTGACTTGACAAATGCGCTAAACATTAGATAAAAAATAAAAAGGATTCCAGAAGAGCTGCATCATTTGATGAGAAGATGGTGAATGCAACAACAAGCTGCCATGAGCAGACAACAGTTAATAACACAAGTTGCAGCATCTTAATTGTTGTCACATGTCTTGCTTGGCAAAACGTTAAGACAAAAAAAAAAAAAGAGAGAGAAAAAAGAAAAAAAATAAGTTTGTGATGGAAAAACAGTGTGATGGTGTAAGCAGCTCAGTGGTAATTAATTATTGTGATGACTGGAGTTTCTGCATAACTTGAAATGTATTTGAGTTCAACTATTGAACTACGGTTTTGTAGTATTGTAGATTGACCCCAAAATAAGTCATTTTAAGTCAGTTTATTCATGTCATTATCAATTAATGAAGTCAACTTAAGCAAACCTAGGATTGTATCTCATATATGTTGAGATGCTTGAAAGCATTTAACTTTGCTTTTTTTTTGCCGTTAATAATAAAGGTGAGTTGAGTTTCTGTAAAGCTCTAAGAAGCCAAACCAAAACAACAAATCTGTGCTTTCTTCTTTACCTGCAGGTGTCAATCTCTCCTCAGCCAAATGGGGTCTCACAACCACAACACATCCCTCTATCACCATTATCTCTTAAAGTATGAGATTTATTACCCTCAATCAAATGGTTGCAAAAATACCAGGAGGAAAAATGTTCAGGTAAATTTGAATGGCAAACATGTTTCTAAGGTACTTTATCATATTTTATGTGCAGGATGCTGTAGTATGAAACAAATAATCCTTTGACTGATAATAATAATAACAATAATAATAATAATAATAATCAATTTTATTTGAAGGCACCTGTCAAATCATTCAAGGTCACTGAACAAGAAATACAAAAATAAAAAACAATAAAACACAGATATCAATAAAATCAAACACAATTATTGGTAGAATACATAATGACAGTAAACAGAAGAAGCAAGTTTGAAAAAGTGAGTTTTAAGGTTAGACTTAAATGAGGACAGAGAATCAGAATGTGCTGTGGAAGAGAGTTCCAGAGACGAGGGGCTTTGTGGGATAATGCCCTGGATCCCATGGTTGTCATGTGGGCAGGAAGTATAAGAGAAATGGATAAGGAGGAGCGAAGACTTCGGGCAGGTGTGTAATAACAAACAAGATCAGTGAGGAACAGAGGTGCCAAGTTATGCAGAGCTTTGAACGTGAGGAGGAGAATCTTGAAGTCGATGCGATATTTTATGGGTAACCAGTGGAGATGTTTAAGGATAGGGGTGATGTGTTCCTTTGAAGTGCTGTAGTTCTGGTGATGATCCGAGCATCTGTATTTTGGACAAGCTGAAGTTTATGGATGATTTTAAAAGGAAGCTCTGAGAGGAGGGAGTTACAGTAGAGAATATGTGAAATCCCCAACTTTAATTGTGAGACTATTACATCTGGATAAGGTAGACTTGGTGCCAACAAGGAGAAATTCTGTTTACTTGGAGTTCAGTTTAAGGAAGATTTGACTAAACCATAATTTAATTTCACAGAGGCAGTCCGAATGGAAGGATAGTGGAAGTGTGGTGTTGAGCTTGGTAGAGAAGTAGAGGTGGGTGTTGTTCACATAGCAGTGAAAATTAATACCACATTTTCTAAGAATGAGACCAAATGGAAGAAGATAAATGATAAACAGCAGAGGACCAAGAACAGAACCCTGAGGTACTAGGTACCCTGTGGTATAAGTGAAGTTTTAGTTGGTCAAAGTGTACACTCGAGCATTAAGTCAGTACAACTAATGTTTAAATGCTAAAAACAGCTCTTACCCTTCTACCTTTTGTCCCAGCAATACCTGGAGTGCCTCTCTGTCCCTGTGGACCCTGAGAGAAAAACAAACAATTCATGCACATGACAGAAAACACTGAGAGCATTGAATTGGGGAGGGAACTAACATTTGAGAATTTTACTATTGGCACTTAAGATTCAATGGCTACTGGTTGACATTTGTGGATGTCTTAAATACTTAATTAAAAGTACATAAGTTTAAAAAACACAGACGTCAAACAAGGCAGTATTTTTAAAATACTTGTTTAGATTTATGTGTTTTTTTATGAGGCAAACAACCTATGTGTGGTTTACATATTGGTGATGACACTTACAGGTGAACCTTGCATCCCAATGTCTCCTGGACTTCCTGGCAATCCGGGATAACCCTGTTTTTTGTTTTTTTTTAGAAATAAAGAAGACAAACTGAGTCATCATTTATTGGTATATGATAAATGTGACTAACTCCATAAAAAAAATGTTAAGATATGAAGTACCGTGTGAGCTCATAGAACAAATGGGAACAAATTAGGTGTGTCCTGTAAAACAATATTTTTATATTACTTTGCATTTTATTGTCCTCCAGGTGTTCTAATAAAATAGACACTGCTTTGTGCAATCGTTTTCATTCCTGCCCCACAGTTACTCCTCCTTTTTAGTAAACTAAAATGATGATACAATAACGAAGCCTCAACAAATCTATTGAACAGATCTGAGAAATTACCAATTGTTGCAAAAAATAAGGAAAACTTCCTGATATGATTTCTGTAATCTGGGATGAAAAAGTTCATTCAGGCTGAACATCACTATACAAATTCACTTCAGCTTCTTACATAAGTCACTTGTTCTATCTCTTTCTTACAAACACAAACACACTCACTGATTAAATCATCTGTTGCAGCCAGCCATCAAATTATACATCCTTTCATGCATTAATTTTCACTTTAGTATCCATTGGGTCATCCAGTTAGGTCAGAAATCTGGCCCAAAATGTCAAGCAAGGTGATAATTCAAGGCCCTGAGACAGCGAGGGATCCAGGCCAGCCTCGCACAAAGACTCATACAGCTTTGCAGCTGACAGCAGAAACTGTGCAGCAATAGTTCTTTCTTTTATTCTATCAGGCAGGATTGTTGCCAAAATAATGTTCACGCCAACAAATTTTCCACTGTAGTGAGTGAGCTAATACTGTAAAAATAACCTACTATTAACATGGTGTCCCTCGGGTCCTTAAAGCTTTCTCCTCCCTTCTCAACGCTATTCATTGCCAAGTATGAAATCAAACATTAAAAAAAAATATCCTGAACAGTATCAAACGGTGCATGTTGAACGAGTTTACTCCTGTAGTCTTCCAAATAGATTAAAGCAATTGTCAAAGATGGGTATGCACCCAGTGTAAGCAAAACACTCGTCTGAATCTGCTGAAAACCACGTTGTGTCACATGACCTACATTAGGCTGCATAGGTATTCCATTCCCACATGTCGTGGTGTCCCTGAGCAAGACTCTTAATCCCTAGTTGCTCCCCGGGCGCTTACATAGCTGTCCACTGCTCCACCTGGGTGTATCTCAGGTGTGATGGGTTAAATGCAGATAACTAATATTGTCATTGTATGGGAACATACAATGATGACAACACATAGCACTTACACGTATAGGTAAGCTAACAGGTAAGTTGAACATTTGATCTATTTCCAGTCCCTTCAGCTCTTTTTTGCACATTGAAGTTGACACTTGGTCACAATGTTTACTTGTTTTATCTAAGAACACATTACCCATCAATTTGAGAAAATAATATTGGGCTTACACAGTTTTTTACTATGATATTGTTTGTTTGTTTTTCTGTCCCATTTTCATGAGTTTGAAATGAGTGCCTTTATTATTCTCAGTAGTTTGAAAACTATGAGGACTGGCTTTCTGACAAGACTTCTTTGACTTTCAGGAATTAAATCAGTATACATGAAACCTCATAGTCCCAAGAACTTATTGCTATATGTAGTCCTAAAACTAATAGAGTGTGGTAAAGTTGAAGCAGCAATGCTGTTTTCTCTTTTTTACAGCTAACACATTGGGTTTACCAACAACTGGAGGAAAAATGCTGTGTGAATCCACTTACTCTTGGCCCATTCTCTCCGACTGGACCTGCTGGACCTGGTGGTCCCCGGTCACCCTGATGAAAAACAAGGCAACAGAAAGAGATAATAACTAAACTGTAAACTTTCCCATCGCCTCAGGGACTCTGAAACCCCTTTGATGACACTGTGCCGTCTGGTAAATCCCAAAAATAACTGCATGAACAGTAAAGCTGCACATGTCTTTAATACACTGCACCCCCACCCACTAACATATGTGCAAGTGATGCATTCACCACAGTTAAAATGCTAACATTAATAATTGCATAGTACAAGTCCCTTCTACGCCATGCATTTCTGTCCAAAAAATGAAATATTTTAAGTAAAGTATTGGAAACAGGAGTCCAAAAAGGTAAGTGGAACTAAATTAAAAATTCAGACAATGTTTAAAAGATTTGTAGGCTGTCAGGGTATGACTGGTGCTGACAAACTGAATCAGGAGGGAGGTTTTTGTGTAAGAAAAATTGGAGGACGAGCAAGAATCTGACAATCAGATGGCTTCCCATCACAAGAACATGTCCTGACAAATGGGCCTTATGGAAAGGAAAGGAACGGAAAGGCAGCAGGCTGAGGTAGAGGGAGGGAACAATGAAAACAGAAGGTGGGAAAAGCGTGTCTTTTGGAAGACTGTCAAAAATCAGCAAGGCTACTTTAAAATAAATCATCACAAGATTCAAAACTCCTTCTAAAAGCTACATGAGTCAAATGTGGACAAATGTGTAATTCCACTGGTGCAAGTGTTAGAAGCACATGTGAAAAAGTGACAGGACACAATATGATTTCAATTTCACAAGTGACACAAATTAGGTACACTAAAAGATGCAAAATGACTGGCACATTTGCTTTGGCTAAATGTAAGATATTTATCCTTTAAATCTGACTTGACTTGACTTTTAAAATGTGTTTAAACATTTTAATATATTGTTTTAATGGACAAGCAGCAGGTCAAGAACAATATTTTTTTAAACTTTATACTCAAAGGTCAAAATCCGATATCTAGATCAGGTCAAAGTTCTGGAACAACTAGCAAAAAGCTTTTTTTTCTTCTAATTAAATTTGCTTATGATCTACAACCAAAGAAAATGGCACAGTTTGTCTAACCTTTAAAAGAAAAGTATAAAATGCACTGTAGTGTCACAAGAACATTTATTTGACCTTAACCTAATTACTTATTATGTCTCAAAAATTAAAATGCCCTTTTTTCACGCAATAATAAGTTGGCCTTAAAGTCCGCAAAACTCTGTAATATCAAAATTGTTGGGTAAATTAATCATCCTATCATAATTTCATTAGGCATCAGAAGTTGATCAGTTATCAGGCTCCTCTCTAAGTAGACAAAAATACTCTTGACTTCTTCACACACATGGTTCTATGACTCTGCTCGCATTAGCGTGTAAATTATAGCCGAACAGAACCTATGAGAATTGTGCTGCTGTTGTTTAGCATATATCTTAGATCTTGTAACGTACTGTTGGGCATTCGTTTAGTGTATATCTTAGTTTAGATCCTTAATTACTGTTTCTTTTGACACTTTATATTTTTGCTATTGTTAGCTCTCTGCTCCACACAAAGGGCTGCGGTAGCTCGGTGGTCTGTGGTTGCGTCAAGAAGGGCATCCAGTGTCAAAACCATTGCCAAGTCTTCATGTGACTTAGTTCGCCGTGGCAACCCCAGAAGAAGGGAGAAGCCGAAAGAATAAGAATAAGAATATTTTTGCTATTGTTGGCTGTAACTGGGACACTATGTACACAATTTTGTTCCACCTCATGCACCACATGTGATGCGAATGACAATAAAGAACCTTGAATCATTGAATCTATATTAATTCAACATTAGTAAGTGTAAACTTCCATGACCTTTACATACATTTCCCTAACAAAAATGATAAAAAGTAAAAATCACAGACTGGGACAATAAATAATTTTCCACTTAAACTTTGGTCTAAAATATTTTGTCAGACGGAGTAACAGTTTATTTGTAAAACAGCTGAGATATGAGCTTTTGACTACATTTAGTGCTGAGAATGCATTCACACATTTATGTGGTGCAAACAAAACACAGTATATTTCTCTGTCCGCTCATTTTGCAGAAGATGCAACCTACTTCAGCTGCCACGGTTGATATAAGGTAAAGGTAGGCACAATATGGGTGGAGGTAGGCAACGAAACAATGTGCATGAGCTAGAATACTGCACAGTTTAACAAACTGTGCACACAATATTGTGATTTTCAAAAATAAGCCCCGCATGGCTCTATAGTCTCTAACGCTCAGACGTCAGTGACACTGCAACAAAAACTTGCCTATTTTCTTACAATTGTGAGTTAACACGTTCCCAAGCATCACAGTTCAGAGAGCAACAGCCTACATGTACGCTGGCTCACTCATTCACATCACTCTTCACTGAGCTGCACCGATTAATTTTAGCGCAATTCATTACGTTTAATGGGTCCAGATTGATTTGTCTTTCGGTCTGGATCTAGACTGAAATCCGGACTTTTGATCAAGAGGCTGTAAAAGTTACAGATTTGACAATATTGGTGTTGATGTGCATGTGAGATTGTAGTGTTTCTACAAGCTTGTGTTTCAGGTTCTCTGAGGCCTCAAATCTTGGCTGCTAAGCATAAGCCTAATTATGAGGTTCTGTTAGTGAGCAAAGCAACTGATGCTGTCTGACAGATTTAATAACAGAGAACCACACTACTTACCTTTTCACCGGGAACTCCCATTACCCCAGTTATCCCAATTAGGCCAACTGGACCCTGGAGAGGAAAGGGGGAAAAAAAGAGAGTGTCTAACACAAACACGTCAAGAGAAAGTACTAAGGGTTACTTTCCAACCTGTCACAACACCTGGAATGCAAAAGGTTGTAGACTGGAATGTATATTTCAGCCAAAGGGGGTGGGGGGTTTAGCAGCTACAACTTCTAAATATGAGATACTTCCATCAGTCTATTCAAGAAACTGCTCATTGTGGGTTACCAATAACGATGTTGTGGTCAGGCTGCAGCTGTCTCAGATGTGTGGACATTTTTTAATGTTGTGTTTAATTTTCTGTCACTTTATTCAGTGATTTTTTTCCCCCCTTAATTTCACCACATAATAACAAACAAGTATACATTTCTTGTAAAATTGGCAGATTTTATCTAATGAAAGAGAGAAAAAAGTAAGAGCTATAAAGTATTTGTCATTTATCGTCACATAAAAGAAATATTTGAACTATTTTGTGAAGTTGTGAGTACAGTAATTAGTATCTTATCTGCAGCAGGCAGAATAGAAAAGTCTTGCCAATCGCATTTGAGGTGATTTCAGAGCTGATCTCTGCTTTCCGAAACAACTCAAGCTGTGAAGATGTCACAGTGGTTCACATAAGCTTTGTATTATGGGTTTGTACACATCACTGACATTAGTGTGTTGAAAGGGTTCAGTCTGACTAGCCTGTAGCCGTTAGCTTCACTATATGAGAATGTCTCACCTATTCTCCATGCTGTGATTCTTCTCACCATTATCTTTTGTCTAACAATAGGTTTTGCACAGAAATCCACTTAAACAAATCTAAACTGTTATTTTAAGAAATATTATCCTGTTGAATTCAAATAGAGCAATTGATGACAGTGAAGTCAGAGAAATAGAAGCACACAGTTGCCCTTAAATTCCTTAATTGGGACAACAAGTAGGACAACATGGCAACCTGACTTGTACGACTAACATTGTTTTACAGGGCTTTTTGTGCAACTGGGTCCTGACATGAGGGCTTCAGTTTATTTGGAAGTGATCTGGTTTCTCGGCGAGTCCACCTTCACCCACACTACAATGCTGATAATAAAGACTAAACTTACTTCCAGAATAGAATAGTCGACTCAACGACTTAAAAATCCTACAATACAAGCTGATGCAGGTGACTTAGTAAATGTTGCCTGATGAATGTTTTTGGGGGCTTAAGGGTGACATGACAAAGGAACTATAAGGAGCAAATCTACTTTAAAATTGCTCCAAGCTCCTAAAATGTCCAGTAAAATTTCCCTTGAAACAGTTTATTGGAGGCCTTAAGGGGCACTTACTGAAGACAGGTGGATTAAAACATCAATGCATCAACCCTTTCTTGGGTTCTTTCACATCTTATTTATCTGTAAAGTGATGCAATGGCATTTATTAGAGCCTCCATATGTTTAAGAGGTTTTCTTTTTCCTACTGCATAGCTCCATGGTTCCTGTTTGGCTTCAAAGGCTCTTCTACTCAGTGACTGCCTAATGCCTCTCAGATGTGCACTGCAGCAGCACAGTCTAACATGGTCCAACCGGTTGTCTCGTCTATGCACAGAATGCAAATATTAACATTAAGGGGCCTCTTAGAGGGCCCGGCCTACTTTCAGTGTTCAGATCACTTAGATTTGTGATGAGTTTACAAAGGGAACAGGGTGCAGTTTATGTGCTGGAATTCCTTAAGCATTACAGACAAATAAGATTAAAAAAATTAAATAGAAAAGGAAAATACAATAATTTCTAAAAGGATTTTTTGAATTCTTGCCAAATAACGGACACTGATTTCTATCCTTTCAAATAAATTGTTCTTGCAGCATGCTGTTAAACTTGAATGACATGGATTATAAATATATATATTTGCAACAACAAATGTCTAGCATATGTTTTAAGATTAAAAGTCAAACTGCTGTGTGGACTGGAAAGCCTCAGACCCAAATTTGTCTTGGGATTAAAAATGTGTGAGCAAAGTAGCAAGGCATCACAAAGTTCCTTGTAACTTTCTTCACAGCCAATCTACCTAATTATAGACTAAGTAAAATATGGATGCACTATAGTACCTTGCTACTTCGCAGTTCTCAGACTTGCTCTATCATGGTTTTTCAAAGTAAGATTGGACACACAATGGCCGCTTGATGGATGAGCTGCACAATCGGCATGGATTTATTTAATTTTTAATATATATATATGTAAATTATTTTAAATGATTTAGCAAATGTGTGAAGCCCACAGCTGTGGGAGAAACTTCCTCTTGCTGCTGATCAGCTGATCTCTGTGCAGAGAGGAAGTGGGCATGGCCAAGAGTGCAGCCGGAGGCAGTGAGATGAAATCATGACATTCTGTGCTCTTTTAGAGTGTTTAGAGTTTAGAAACATTGTTTAAAATATTGCAAGAGTGTGGGAAGGGTTTAAACACCCTTATATATATATATATATATATATATATATATATATATATATA